AAAAAAACCTGAACCTTTGAAAGGGATGAGTCCAGAGGCAGGCATTAAAAGCCTCTGATGTTCAAAACAAAGCAAAGCCCCTTTCCTTCCTCCCGTTCATCTTTTTTCATTCCTCTGCAGTCCTTTGGATGGAAGGCCTCATCCGTCTCCAGTCCCATCACTAACCTGGGAGGCGGCTTGGGCTTCTTTTTTGCACAGCCTGTTCTCCGGATGCTCTGAGAGAGGGCTTCTGGCCATAGTTTTCTTTCCACTCTCCCCTTTTGGTAAATCTGATCCTTTTTGCTCCTGCCTCCCCATTACTAAGTCCGCCTCCATGGCACAGGTCTATGGAATTGTCTTTTCCTCTTTGCTTTCTTCTTTTCCTCTTTCTTCTCAGGAGTGATGGAGTGACAACAGTTTGACAAGGCTTTCCTAAACCTGCAGTGGGGAGCTGTGGACCCAGCCCCAACACTTCAAGTTGGGGGAAACAGCCCCACTCCTGTGTCCTTGAGATGGAGCCCCAAGTTGAGGGGGATTGAGAAGGAATGACATGAAGGATGGCTGGACAGACACAGGACAGAAGCCTCCTCCAGGGAGGGGGCAGTTTCACACCATATGTCTATGGCAGAGAGGATGTAGAAACAAAGGCAGGCTGAAAGAAGGTCTAGGAAAAGAGCACAAAGGACTGAAGACATTCAGAACAAAGAAACTGAGAGGGAGGAAAAGATGGGAGACAGCCCAAGGGCTGAGGCCAGAGGAAGGGGCTGGGGAGAACCAGTGGGAGAGGAGTGGACAGGAAAGGAAAGTAGAGATACAGGGCAGAATGAAAAAACAGGGTCTGGTTTGTGCTGGGATGGAAATGCAGGCCTCAGGCAGGCGAGGCGAGTGCTCCACCACTGAGCCCCAGCCCCTGCCTGGTGTGTTTTTAAAAATGAGGGATAAAAAGAAAGAAGAAAGAAAACAAACGCAAGAAAGGAGGGAATGAGAGAGTAAAACCACAGGGGAGGAAAAGAAAGGAAGAAGGGAGAAAAAAATGGAAGGAGAAAAATAAAGACGGTAAAGGAGGACTGAAAAATACAGGAAAGATAGAAAAAAAGAGAAAGAAAGAAGGAAGGAAAGGGGAAGGAAGGAAGGACCATAAAGAGAAAAGGTGAAGGCAGGAAAGAAAGCAGAAGAAAGAAGGAAAAAGAAATAAAGGTAGAGGGAGAATAAAGGATAAAGGAGAGGGAGGAAGAGGGATAATTAGAGAAGAAAGGGGACACAGACTCCTGGCTCCCTGGCCTAACACCAGCACCACCCCCATCCCAGGTGATGTGGCCCAGGTCAGGGACCCGAGGACCAGCTTCTCTGCAGCAGCTGAGGGAGCTGGAGAAGGACTTCTTCCCACACTCCTCTTCCCCCTCCCTGCCTTGCTGGTGTGGAGCAGGCTATTCAGCATTGAGGCTCCAAGACACTTGGGTCAAGATCTGGATCCAAAACCAGTACATGAAGTAGAAGAAGCTGATAAGGGAGGGCCTGGGCACATATTCCTGTGCTGGTGCTGATGCCCTCTTTCTCTGGCTCTGACCCTTCACCCCCAGCTCCTGGGAACTCTGCTGTGGCCCTGATGGCCCTGGCTGTCTGAAGACTGGGCTGATTTGCTGGGCCGTAGTTTGATCATCTGCCATATGAGCCCTTTGCACTGAATGATGGTTCTGTAATTTTGGTTAGCCTTCTTGAATGTGTTCAAGCAAGAGCAGGGAGAAGATAAGACCTGGTCCACTTTGGGTGTGAGGGGATCTTCATTTTCTCCCATTGGTGTCAACAAAAATCTATCCTTAGCAACATCATTACTATCGGTATCTCCATCCCTACCCCAGAAAACCACGCAGTCAAGGGATTTCTCCATGCCAGGAAGGGTTGGGTTCAACCCTTAGTGTAAGTTTGAAAGCCAGAGAAGGAGAATGAGGAAGGTCCCTACCAGGACATGAAGAGAATTTTACAGAACTCACAAAAAGAGATTAATTGACTTTAGATTCAGCCTGTAGAGGTGATCAACTCAGGGTTGTTGGGTATCTGTTGCCTATGGGGCCTACATTCCCACGCCCTGTTCATGTGTTTTGGTGGAACTGCCCAGTTTGATTCAAGTTGTTTTTTGTTTTCGGGGGGTGGGGGGGTTTGTTGTTGTTGCTTGTTTTGTTTTTGTTTTTGGTTCAGAGGATTGAACCTAAGGGCACTTAACCATTGAGCAACATCCCAGCCCTTTTTATTTTTTATTTTGAGTCTCACTAAGTTGCTGAGGATGGTTTTGAACTTGTGATCCTTGTTAATTAAATAAATCCTTTGTCTCCCCCAAAGTGGAATGGGCTGGTCACTGAGGTCAGCCAGATCTCCCAAGGTCAATGTAACCTTTGAGGATGGGCTGCGGGATCCCCAAATCAACTGTTGGAAAATCACATGCGTCCATGTTCGTAGTAATCCTTGCGATGCGCTCTTGGTGAGGCCTCTGTCTGGCGCTTCATTTTCCCTCCTTCTTTAAGTTCTCCCTTCATTAATCTTTCTCCTGCCTTCCTTCCTGATTTTTGTTTGTTTGTTTGTTTTGTTTTTCCTCCCCCATGCTCTCTCTCCCTTTTTGTCTAGTCCATTGTGCTATTTTGATATCCCAGAAGGCTCTGCTCTGAGACTTCAGGCTAGCCATCTTGCAGCCTTACCTCAAAGGCTTATTATGTGGCTGCAAACATTGGGGTTTGAAAATGAGGCTAAAAGGGAGTGTTAAGTTTTGCTAACTAGATGCAGGAGCAACTAACTGGTATCAGTCATGATTATGACCTGCATGTCCCCTTGACTCCCTGTAAACAGTTCTTCCCCACCCATCCACCTGGTTGCCCTTTGCCTGTTCCTGGGAGTAGAGTTGCTTGTGCCTCCAAGGCTATTGCTCTTCCAGGATGAATGAGGTCAGCGATACCAGGTTGGAGCCTCAAACTAACTCTTAAGTAAGCAAAGCATATTTCCTCATTCCCTGTGCATTCAGAAGCCTTGCATAGGGAGACTGTTCAATTCTGGCTCCTGACTGTCTGTCCATGGATCGCCCCTGATTAGCCAGGCCCTTCATTATCAACATCTGCTGGGCAAAGGGAAGCAACTTACTCCAAACCATGATAGAGGTGATGCAGATGTCCTCTCAGACAATCTCCTTGCTCCAACCAGGCCCTGCAAGTTGGAGGGAACCCGGCCCACTTCGCAGGATGTGGAATCTCAGAATCTCAGTGGCAGAGCTGACAGTGCAGCTGCATCTGGGAGCCTGCTGCAGAAAGCTGCTTCTGCCTTTGGGCGTTCCTTGCTGCCTCAGTCTTGGCTCTATTCAGTTTTTCTCCCCCATTTGGGGGGCAAGGGGAGCGGGGAAATGAAATGCTTCTCCCCATGCTGCTAATCCTTTCCTCTGCTCCCACCACCATCAGAGCTGCTGATAATAATGAACTGCAGCTTCCAGCCCATAATCAAAACAAATTCAAATTCTCTTCTGGGCAGGAGAAGGGCAGATGTTCCTTCTGCAATCCTCCCTTGTGCATTGATCCATTTTGAGGGCACTTGGGGGTCAAAAGTGAGACCAAATTGCTTTAATCAGTGTGGAATTAGCATTT